GCTTCCCTCCCTCCCTCCCCTACAAACAAAGTTGTGACAGGATAACCTTAAGGCCTTGTGTACTCATTACAGAGTGCATCTGGTTACTTTGGTCCATGTATTCTACAAGTCAAGGCTGGGGCTGTTACGCTACTCCTTAAAAATACTTGTTTTTAATAGTCAATGATGCAAATTAGATGACGTGCAGCAGCTGAAGTTTTGGAGAATGATGCACTGGTACATATTAAGAATCATATAGATGAGTGATGACTACATAGGGCACTGAAAGAGCCAAAAAAAAAAATCATGTTCCAAGTTCTATTCTATTCAGTCTGCACTCCGTGTACAAATAAGAAAATATGCATGCTATCTATAGCCATATGTTAAGGGACAGAAACATCTTAGTTCTAATGCAAAATTATGCGCTGGCAGAGAGCTGTTATTAGGAATATTAAAATCCGCCATCTGACAGTCATGCAGAAGACACAAGGTGCCCATTGGTGGTAGAACTTTGCGTGCGAGTGAACAGTGCATCCATCATTTACTGTGTACGCATCATCAATTTTACTTATTTATGTACAGACTGCATGGGCAGCAGGCACATAGGCTGTACATTCATGCAAATTGCATAAATGCAGCATCTTAGGCAACTGTAGCCAAATCCAACAGCACAAATCCAATTTCACTGTTAGACAGGTAAGCGGTATTTCTGCATAAACAATGTCAGGCTGTTTGCATTGATTTTTTTTTTTTTTTGTTTTTAGCTCCTCCCCCATCTTCACCCCCTCCAATGAGAGAAGGAAATAGAAGCTTTCCCACTTTTTGACACTGGTAGCCTAGTGGTTAGGACACTTCACCTAGGATCTTGGAAACCCAGCTTTTGTGCTCATACTGTACCCAAAGGGGGTTTCAATCTGTGTCTTCTACTTCTAGCCAAGGGCTAGGCATTACTCAGATCACTTCTCTGTTATAGCTGGATCACTTCTCTGCCAAAAAGGGGAGCTAAGAGAAGCCAGCTGAATAAGGTACTTCCTACGAGAAGTGTATTTATTTGGGTACAGTTTTGGCCTATCTTAATTTGCACGTATTCACTAAACTAGTGCACCTCAAACAGCAAACCATCCTACTCCTGCCTAACTGGGACTTAGCTTTTCTCCTTACAACGCTGCTTAAAGATTTCTCCTTAAGAATTAAAACAGTAACAGCAAGGCAATAGTATTTACTCTTGTTAATGTTTTAAGAAAAATGCACACCTGTTGGAGGCAGGCCCTAAATCAAGAGGGGTAGGAAGTACTGGGCTTGCCTATAGGACAGTGGTCAAGGCACTTATAATGGAGTCTGGTGTCTCACAGGCTGAGAAAGATTTAACTTGATTCTCTCATGTTCTGAGCCAGTGCTCAAACATTTAAAGTTGCTACCTAAGTAGTGAACACTCATAACAGCTGCCAGCTCTTAAAAGAAAGCTGTATTCACCCTTGCATTTCATATGGACTCTGTCCAAGTGTGTTAGTCCTGCTCTGAAAACTCCTGACTTAGGACTTTTCAAAGGACTCTTATCAGCCATAAAATGACTAGGATCTCTGCCTAAATGGGACATGAAAGTTGAATAGTAAGTGATTAAGGCTTCCTAAGGTCCAAAGGTGAAGTATCTATGGAGTTCAGACCTCTGGGATTCAGCAGCAGCAACCGCCAAACAGGTTTTGGATCTCACTTTTTGACTAATGTCCTTAAGTTGCTTGCAGGACCTGCTAGATAGAGCTTTTCATGACCAAAACAGATTATGGCTAAAACAAACTATGGAAAGAGTTTTTATACTGATCCATTTCAGATTTCATTCCTGCTTGTAAGAATGATTGTGTTGCCTCTCTATATGTTCCCTCTCTATGATTGTCCAATCAATTCATGGGAAGAGAAAACAAACTTAATCTTACATGTTGCCCTGCAGCTTACAAAATCAAGATGCATTCTTTCTACTTAGAAGATCAGCCGCATCAAAATAGCCACATAATTGCCAGGGGATAATTATGATTCTCTAATTATTATTGCTGCTGATGGTAAATGATGTAAAAGGAAGAATGCAGTTTGATTTTCTAAGCTGAATGCCAAAGGAGACACAATAAGAAAACTTGTTTTAACTAGAATACTGAGCAAACTGGACAGAAAAGTCACTGAAAGAAAGAATGCTTGGGTGATGTCTACCAAACCGAAGACACGTTATTGTGATTCTACGGTCTTTTAAGTATGCATGTAAATGAGAAATAATCTGGACAATGAAACTTTAAAGGACTAAAGCAAGAAAAATAAAATGGCATATTCAAAGAAGCCAGACACACCTGCCAGTTTGATTGAAAGTCAAGATTTTGTACAAGAACCATCAACGGCCTTTTATAAAATGGCTGTAGCGTTCTACACAATCTTTCACTGATGCAACACTAACTGTAGTGCTGAGCTACTCAACATTGTTTACAATCCAAATACAGCATCAAAAGCAAAATACATCTCTAACATATTTCTACATAGCTCATCACTAAAGATACTGTATATATTCAAATACAAGATGAGGTTTCCCCTCTGCCCCCCTTCCTCTCCCCCCAGCATGGAGAAAAAACAGCCCTTGGCTTATAATCGATCACATACAAGGAAATCTTGCTAAGTACTGTCTAACATTAAACTGCTGCCAAAAGCAGTGTGTGGCTCAGCAATGGAAGCCAACTATAAAGTTGATTAACTACAGCCGACACTGAGCAAGACTAAAACACATGGCCCCTGTTGGGCAAGCCACCAATAATTAGACTCTATACCCAGAAAATTGTAACAAATGTATACATTTTCCATATACAGAATCTAATTACTTGGTGTGGGGGGGTCATCTTATAATCAGGGTTATCTTCTATTTGAGTAAATATGGTACTATTTGTTTTTAGACATAAGTGCGTTACAGGTGAGATTTTTCTCCCCTCAACCAACCTTGTCTTGATACTATTTATTTTTCTATACGCAGAAAGGAGGGATTCTCAAAAATATAAAACTAACACACTTGAATGTTGCCCGTGCGGACCAGTCCTTATTCTGAACTCTAGTTTTAATGATTACCCTCTGCATTAAAACATGGATGGTACAAAGGCCTTGCTTTAACCACAAAATCTGATGGTTTGCGGAAAACTGGGACGAGCTGAACTAGTTGCAAGAAACTGACCTCAGCTTTGCTGTTATTTTAGACAAGGAGTTGTGGGTAGCATGGCTGTGATCAATTATGGCAAGATCATGGTTTGACTGATTGTGAAACAGGACTGTCAAGTCATGAGAAGCAATATATTGGCTTTCACAACCATGTTCTCGTGCAACAAAATGTAGCTAAACACAGCTTTAAGGGGCAGTCAGCTGATATGTACAGGGCTTAGTTGTGAACATTTCATACAAAGAAAGTTCCTTTGGATGTTTATGAACTGAATAACTTTGTTTGAACAAAAATCGTTGGCTGCAACAGTTAGACTGTGCTAGAGAAAATGGAGGAGGACAAGATACTCCTTTGTTGAAGAGTTAATGTTTAAATCATTTAAATTTTTTAAACTTAACAACCATCAAACACTGGAAGCTCCCTCTGAAACTGCACTTTCATTTCTGTAACGTACATGTTTGGGAGAAGGGAGTTACCAATGAGAAAAAAAGGGGTGTTGGTTGTATAAAAAAAGCAGATAAAAAATCTGATTTAATTCTCCAAATACAAGAGGAAACAAGCTTGAGAAATTTTTAAAAGAAGTTACATGAATTCTTTAGCCCAATGATATCTATAATTTCACTTTCAGTTTTCAATAACAGCAGAGACATAAGATCACGTCAGGCAAAAGAATATTGGATACATATAAACTGAGCTATGGCTAAAAACAACAGCTACTGCAGCAGCACTGAAAGTAAAACAAAACAGGAGACATGGCTTTATCTTTGTCCTAAGATAAAGAAAATGTATAACACAGTCGAGGTTACTTGTACCAGTACTTTACTTAACCTTCTACCAATTAGAGTCAACCACATACAATAACATAATTTTATGTAATTGGCAACTAAAAATGTTTTCCTTTAGGGACCACCCTATGTTTTACTGATGTTACTGTTCTTACCGCCTTTCGTTTCCCCAGAGCAACATTTTAAAAATGTTAGGCCACTATTTCAAACATGGTTGTCTAGTGTGAAGAATAATTAAAAAAAGTCTGATTTTTCAGAAATGCTATGCTCCTGAACTCCCACTGCTTTCCAGGTTATGTGTCCAATTATGTCTTTAATGCAGGTAACTCAGGCAATTCCAACTGGATTACCCTATCCTGCATGTTAGCAGCCCGTCTGTAAAGGTAGATGTAAGTTCTGCCATGTCTAGACTACAAACATACTGTGCCTGGCAGTCATGCCCTTCACATTGTTCCCATTCAGGAGGTAGCGCATATGAACCAGTGTAGCCATAGCTACATGCCATTCTAGAAAATACTGAACAATAATGCAGTACTTAAGTGAAGTTTCAAATAGCTTGGTGCTACCCAGATACAGTTCCATGACTTCTGGGTTGGCAGTAGTGTATGAAGGTGCCACTGCTAGGTGTGGTAAGTTCATGGTCTTGGGCAGAGGGAGAAGTTTTGTGCCACAGTAAGATGAAACCCTATAATTCCCCCCTAGTGATTGTGGGAGAACATGTTTGTCCTTCTGGGTATACACAGAGAATTGTGGGAAGGCAGCGGAGGAACAGGAGCAGTCTAGTGGTTTAGCATACATCGTCACTTCATAGTGGGCAGATTGATAGACTTACTGGAAGTCTCTGAGCCTTTACCTGACATCCCAGGAAAGGTTAACCTAAGTGAAGCTGAAAGCAGCACTACATTTTGGCAAGAGGTTTGTGTTTGTGTGAAGAGAAGTGAAGCCAAATTAAGGGCAATAGCCAAATGAGAGCCTAGGTCAATCATGCTGTGAAGACTTACCTTAACACAAAGCTCTAGTCAAGAGTGAAACAAACAGATGAAGGTTAAAAACCAAAAAACAGTAAGGACACATACTGTTCTATTACCAACTGCTAGTATACGACTGTTGCTAAACTAAGTTTGAACTTGGTTTTTACATATGCAAGTGAAAGATCAAAATTAGTTATTTCAAAAACACCCTACAGTTCTAGCACCCATTCAGCAACATTGTCAAAAAGACCCAAACATTTAATACCACTTACTGGGGCCATGGCATTTGATATCAACAGGGCAACCCCCCCCCCGATCATGCCTCACAACACCCCTTGTGGGGTAAGAAGCTTTATATCTATGAGTCACTATTTAACAGATGGTAAAACTGAGGCAGGGCAGTTGAAGGGCTGATCTCGAGTCATTAAGCTAGTGGAAGCTCAATAACTGATGTCAATAAATCAAGCTTTAAGTGACACTATCAACACCAGAGAACAAATCAGGCAGAACTGATAATGGAGTCAGAATCAGAAACTCTTACTCTGACCCCACAGTCAGTATATCCTGCTAATTCCTTTGCCTTTCTTTAATGAAAATCTTTTGTGAAATATGCAGAGGCAACAGACATCTGGCTGAGAAATTATATTTGTAATAGAAATGACATAGATGCCTAATATAAACCAAAAAGCCATTTCCTTTCTTGCTTGCGGGCTAACACTAAATGAGTGTATCTTTGTAGCAAGATGGCATATGGCTTCAGCCTTAGTCTTTCTATGATGGAACAGTATTTAGATCAACTACTGAAGTGTGAATTAAAACCTAGCCTTTCAGGTTAATCAAAAACCAAGGGGACAGCATGGCAGATTCAGGGTTTACTGTCATTAGAATCCTACTCATTCTACACATGCAAACTGTCATATAGTGGTAAATCAGTGGTATCCTTGTGCAAGGTGAACAACACATGGGTCTGCCTCAAAATCCAGCAAAATGTTTCTTAAAAACCATCTTGTCAATACTCCAATAGTAGGTGAGGACTTATCCCTCTTCAACTTAATTTTATTGTCGTGAAGCAACTGTGAAGCTGAACACATCTCTAAAGTGACTGCATAATTATAAAAGAAAAGATGCTTTGATTTAGCTAGTATACAGGTATAATTAGTCCATTTTATTCAGTTATTCTATGACATTCTCAATTTTAATTCAACTTCATATAAAAAACAGAATATAACTAAACATGTGGCAGTTGTGATGAACACATCTTACTATCGCTTTTCAGAGGAAAGACTTCTGAAAATCTGAAGACAATTTTTTAAAACAAGGGCCCAGATCCTTAACTTGTAACTTGTCAGAGCTTAACTGAAACCAAAGCTGCGATAGCAGTTTACACCTGTGGATGAATAGCTCATTCATTTGCAGCATAACAGATAATAGTTTGCCTCAAAGTTAAGAGACAACAGGGGTTACAGAGACTTCAATGCATATCTATAGCTGAAAACCAAGCTATAAGGTTTCTTTGGAAGATAAATCTTTCCTCTTGTAGACTAGAGGACTCAGTGACAAAATTATGGTCCCTACCTAAGATAAGAACAAAATAATATTGTGGATCTTGGAGAAGTATCTTGATTTAGAAGCCGTGACCACTACACTACACAAAATTTCTAAAACTGGTTTCATTTTCATCTTCTTGGACTTTTTAAAGTTAACTCTAGCCTTGAACAGTTTACAAAAGTATTTAACCCTTAAAACATGATATTCTCTAAGCATCCAAAGATCAGGAGGATACATGCTTCTTTACATGCAGACTCTCCATAGGGTTAAAGTGTGCAAGTTTTAGACAAACAAGTTAGAGCACCTGCCTATTCGTTTCTTTTTTTAAATGAAACTTTTTCTTTGGTTTCTTGTATTTTCTCTGTTATTTTATCCTTGGTTTCCTCCATTTTCTCTGTTATTTTATCCTTGGTTTCCTCCATTTTCTCCGTTATTTTATCCTTGGTTTCCTCCATTTTCCCTGTTATTTTACCCTTGGTTTCCTCCATTTTTTCTGTTATTTTATCCCTGGTTTCCTCCATTTTCTCTGTTATTTTATCCTTGGTTTCCTCCATCTTCCCTGAGAGAAGCTCTTTTGTTTCTTCCATCCTGTCGTGCAGGTATCCCTTTACTGGAGGTGGTCTGGACAGGTAGCCGTGCTTGCGAAGATACTTGATAGTAATGGACGTTCCTCCCAAAGTCACGATGTATCTGGCAGGAGATGCAATCTTAAAGGAAGATACCAAAAAAAAATTGTATCCATATTATACATAATTGTGAGAGGATATCGCCCAGGACATTCTCAAGTTTGCAAAAAGATTATTTTGACTAATTCCACTTAAATACATACATCTTCTCCAGGAAGGGTCCCTGAAGGGTAAGTTTTAACAAGTATTCTTTAGGTGTGTGTAGACACAAAACATGTCTGCTCTTATAAACATGGTGGGGAGGAGCAGCAACAACTGTTTGTACAATTACTCGGTGGTTAAAGGTTAAGAGCTGAAATCAGTTAGAGTTCTACTCTGTTTTTCTATCTAGTCCTTAAATCATATCATACAACTGGAACACATTATTTTGCTCCTGAAGTGAATGGATGTTCACTTCAGGAGCATCCTGGGGGGCTGCACTGAAGAATTTTTCAAAGACAATACAAACTTCTAAGAAATGCAACTCAAGTGAATGTACCTGTAGTCACTATTACACATCAGCTAACAAGGATTCTACCACCTACTAGTTACTGTCTGGTTAAACCACTTTTTCTCCCTCTCATGAACACAAGTCTTAAATGAGCCCTGCATAAGCTTTGGATGCTGGCTGTGCTTCTCAGCTGCTTCCATCAGCAGCTGCCATGGTAGCTATGGCTGAGATGCTCACCCAGGCACTTCTGGCAGCTCCGCTCAGCAGCTGTGTTCCCAGGGCATGGATGGGAGTGCACTCTGGGAAGGGGCCAGCTGTTAAGTCGACTGAAGCTGGAGGCCTCGAAGTATCTCCTTGGTAGAGCAGGAATAACTCTGCTGACAGAGTGGAAGATTCTGCTGCAGAGAAGCTTTAAGAAGTTCTTCCACACAGCTCTGTAGTATAGACTAAGCCTGTCCTGTCTCATCTCTCATCCTTTGTAATCCTTTTCTTCTTCTCCCACTTAAATCTTTGTTCCTAGCTCCGTTCTCCATATAATGATATATCATCATGAAATAAAAGTGGGAGGACATGCACTAATTTCTATTTAATTGAGGGCTGATGGTTTGGCTGTTCCTAGCTATTTATAAATGCTCCCTACATCTGTCTTACCTTAGAATAGTTTCTCATTTTGCTTAATAGCTCCTTACAGGAAAACAGTACTTAACAGAAGTTTTAAAGGGCAGGCATCTATCCAATAGATCAGTCAGTGCTTTGGAATTAAACAAACAAGCCCACAGAAACAAAACAGTCATAATGGGTCATATACAGGACAGTTACCTGTTCCCAGTAACAAAAGAAGAGCCAGATCTCCAAGTGTTACTTATGCAGACATTTAAGTCTAAAACACAGATACTTTTAATCCACTCCCAACTTCCTATAATGCAGAGGCCTCTAAATTTCCATAAGGAAAGTTTCTTAGTGTCTAAATATCCATCTCTGAGCACATCTGCAACTGTCCAAGTCCTGACAGAACTGGAGTAGATAGGGCCCAGATCCAGTAAAAGACAGTGACACCTAAAAGTAGGGCATAGTGGAATTTATGGTCCTAAAACAGATTCTCAAAAGCTGTCTGCTTAGACACCTACATTTTTGCAAGTAAATTTTTCTAGGTACCCAAAGTTCTGGTGCTGCACATGTCTAAAAACTCCTTTGCTTATTTGCTGAGCTGTTCAGTCTTCAATCTCACCACCTAAGTTCATTCAGAATCCACACAAGAAGCATTCCTTCATCTGAATCCCTGAGGCCCAAACCAGTAGACGTGCTTAGATCACATTTGACACCCATCTAGAACCGCAAGTGCCACAAAAAGCCAGGGGCCACAGCTACCTTAATTTACGAATACTGGAAGATGCTGTTGCTGCTCTTTCTACCCATCCACCTAGGATATGGGAGACTAGATTTCCATGTCTGCCTCAGGAGGATTCACTTCCCAAGAGATTGCCCTTATAATCATGAGGTTGTACACTGCTCGACAAAAAAAAAAAAATTTAGATTCACCGGACCACAGAAAGGAAGCATGACTGTCACCCAATGATTAGGGTACTCAGCTGGGGAATGGAGGCCTGGGTCCAGTTCCCTGCTCCAAGGGCTCATTTAATATTTGCATTAAACAATCAAATGTGGGAAACAAAAAGATGAAACCTGTTGAAATGAACATAGTAATATTTTGTATAATGTGTTGTGTGTTCAAAGCACCATACAGATTATGCACTTGTAAACCTAGAAAAAAAATTAAATCTGATCCTTACAGTTTGGCCAACTGGAAAATGAACTCCCTTGACACTAGTGGAAGAAGTAATGCAACTCATAATGAGACAGGGAATTAAAGGTTCCTACAGAAGAAAACTACATCTCTACCTCCCAATCTCAAGAGCATTTCAAATCATCACTTGAACCCTGTGGGTTACTCAGGGGGTTCACACAAGTGAAAACAGGCAGCTAACTCAACAGTAAAGTGAACCATTTAGGAATGGACAGAGATACTTAAAAAGCACTACGAAGCCCTTATAAATGTGTATGTACTATGTGAATATTGCAGGCCAGATTCTTTGGGTAGATGTGATATCTTTTATTAGACCAACTGAGTAGTTGGAAAAAAGTTCTTTGCAAGCTTTCAGGCACAATCACCCTTCTTCAGGCACAGGGAGTCTCTGCTTTTCAATATCTACACATATCTAACTAGTAAGAGACAGAATTTTTACTTCTTTTTAATTTAAAGAAAATTGAAAGCGTTGTTTAGCTTACCAGGCAATTTCAGAACCCTTTTGTTAATTCTGATACTTACCTTACACAAGGTATAAGCAGTTAGTACATTTCCAGTCTCAGAATTTTTCAGAAAGCTTATGATGTTTTCTGGCAGGCCAAGAGCTTCTAGGATAGGAACAACATTCATGCCTCTATCAAAAAAAAAAAATTACATGTAAATATAATGAAGCTCCAAAAGCTCATTAGCACTTGTAAACTGAACTGCAAATCGCTGTTCCTCATCATGACATTTAATGGTGTAGTTACATTTTAAGATTAATTTACTTTCATTTAACAAACTATTTCTTAATATAAGCAACATAAGTTTTCTAGTGTCTTTGTTTTTGTACACAAAACAGTAATGTCTTTGCATTATTAACGGAGATGGAAGTTATAAATTATCCGTTAGGTTGAACTACTGCTTTGCCAACTTGCTGATATCCTCAATTAGCCTGAGTTAAGTAGATATATCTGTACAAAGACAAAGGTGCACAGATGCAGACTGAAAGCTCCATTTATGAGTGTGCTAAGGACCAGTTCTGCCTTGAGGGACAGAGAAAAATTAAACCCTATGTCTGTTTCATGTTAATCCCACAAAGTGTGGATCCAGTATCTCACACTTCCCCCTTAAATACCGGCCTTAAGTGTATGACTTTTTCTGGGGGTGGGGAAGATAAAAAGCACACATTCTGTTCAGGAGACTAGAGGCTCTTATGTCAGCCAATGCACCTTGCCAGTTGAGGCTGGAAGAAGTGGGTGAAGAGAGTTCATATCACCACTTTCTTCCACTTGACCACTTGTTATTTAGGACACAAAAATACTGCATATCTGGTATACTGTAGCTGGAAAATGCATTCAGTTACAAAAGGCTTGGATACGTCAATATTCAGAAATCTTTTTCAAAATATCTGCCAGTAAGAGGGAGCCTAAAGCTACTGCTTTAGCCTGTAGTCATGTCTTGTAAGAAAGTGATACTCTTTTGGTCTTCCATCTTCCTCAGCTACTTTAAACATTTCAATCTTTATTTGTGATGACATCAGCATGAATAAATATGGTACTACTTAAAAACTTAGTGAATTGCTGCTAGAGAAAAGAGAGCATTAAGTATTATGCTACAACGTAATCTACTTCGTATTAAAATCCAGGGAACATTCCTCACAAAGAATTCTTTAGAATCCTAAGGAACCTAATTAGGTTGACACTATCCTTTTTTAATTATAGGTCATTTATTAAATAGCTACAGACATGAATACTTTAGCCCTGTGGGATGATTATTCATGATTCAAGCTGCTTTTCACCTCAAGAGGGTGCTGTCCTTCTAGGATTACAAATTGATGCTCTGTTCCAGCTCATTTCTAATGAAACATTTTCAGTTGCATACAGATATCAAACAGGTTTTAATGGCTAACCAGAATGTCTGAAATAAACTAGTTAAACTGTACTCAGCTTAAAGTGCCCAGACATGGGCATCAACTTAACTTCATCCAAAGCAAAACATTTGAATAGCTCAAGACCTTTATTACTCTGGGATGGGTTATATTTAGAATGACATTTGGATCTATAGCTCCTAGAAAGGGCAATTATGCCAGCTGGTTAGAGTAACTAAAACAAACACTTGTGTTGTGATACGTTCTGATGTCAAAAGGCCCAGCCGCAAACTTGTATTGTTTTGCGTCTTCTATTATTAAATATGAAACACACAGTCTAGAGATAAACTTTTACCTGGATTCACCAAAAAGTTCAGCTTAATAAAGGCTCCCTCTTTAATCTAAAATAAGAGTCTATAGTAGATATGAATAATCACCGTTTATTACAGTGAGCATTCTCCAAAACAGAACAAGGACTGTGGGATTTTGCAATGTTACATTAAATCTAATGCAAATAGAAAAGACTGAATATAATGGAGGGTTATAAATTAGTTTTATCACTAGATACACCAGTGCTCACTCAAGACAAAAAAAAGAGAGCAGGATGACCAGACTGGCCCACAGGTAAAATTCAAGTAAGTCTCAATGTTTAAATAAGCCAAAACAAAAGATGCCCCCGGGGCAGAGGAGATTAGAACTCAAGTGCATCAGCAGAGAACAATGAAGTATGAGCATCTGCTACCAACCAGTGCTTCCATGAAGGAAAAAGTAAAAAAATAAAAGAGGTTTTTCATTAAAAGTTTGGTCGTTTTTTTATTTTAAATAAAAGGTGGTTTTGTAAACCACCACAACATACCAACAGAAACAAACCCCACTGTACTCCATCCACCAGTTTGTATGGCAGAGGTATAAAGGGAATAAAAACAATTTCCTGGAAGCCATGAGAGAAAATGACACTGCCTTTTCACATTTCTCCTAATATGCTGAAACTAGTAAAACTAGAGATGTATGTTGGTCCCAGGTACTTTCTGGATGAGGCAAGAAGAGGTATAAAAATTATATAGGGGCCTGTATCCTTCCCAAAGAAAACCTTCAACCACAAAGGACAGAAAAAAACAGCCACTTTAAAATGTACAAAGAAAAATGACCAGCCTTGCAATTCTGCATGACACTGCAGCCAGACAGTGCAACTCCTCTGCAGATTCTTGTTTGAAAGTCTCACAGTAAAGCCCTATACCAAAACAAAAGGAAAAGTGGAAAGGGGGGGGAGAGAGGTTCTGGAGAAGCATGCAATCCCTATACTTTCTAATGATGTGACGCATAGTGTTGCAATCTAAACAAATTAAAAGAAGTCAGATAAATGGGGGAAGGAAGCAGATAATGATGGCAAGAAAAAACATGTACAACAACCTTCCTTTTTTCCTACCACATCCTATATTCCCTTGATTTTAAGGGTGAGATCCCATGTGGTATATACAATGGCTAAGACAAACTGAAAAGGAGGTTAGTACTTTTATTTTTACCTACAAATTTTATAGCTTACCCCCTCCCAAAGACACAAATACTTAAGACTTCAATGAAGATTTGCCTACAGAAGGGGTCAGCAACCCACGGCCTCGGGCTGGATCTGGCCTGCAGACATGGGGCATTCGGAGGTGAGGGTGCCTTTTGCAGGTGTTTTCCCTGTGCCACCATGAGGATGAATCCCGGGTCTGGGTGCTCTCCCCATGCCACCTGGGAAACAAACAGTGGCAGCAGCAGAGTCCTACATCCCACTCTCATGCCTGTCTCCAAACCAGTGTGGATCATTCTGGCCCACAGCTGAAAGTGGTTACCTACTGCTGCCCTATGGTAAAGAAACGTCCTTAGTTTCTTCTACCCATACAAATGGAAAAGCAGAGCAGAAAAGAGTTAAGAAATGTGACTGACAGAAAGAGCATATATGGGGGAACCAAAAGCAGGAGTGTCGCCCTTTGAAAATGAGGGACAGTTTACATTCAAAGGAGGAAAGCAGGGCAGATCACTGACACATCCCTACTATTGCTGAGGGGAAGAACAAGTAACCATTTTTGCCATATTAGCAGCTGCTGAAAGATACAACTGTGTGCATACTCCCTAACAGCTTGTCTTATTCTGGGATAATTACTTTATCTACACTTTGAAGGAATGTATTTGGTACACACAGATTGCAGTAAGTAAGTTGTATATATACACAAACAGTGATATGAAGTATATTCCTTTTCATTATCAATCCTAGGCTTTGATTAAACAGACTGCTTTCTCTGCTGCAGTACATGGGGTAATTTCTGACCTGTAAAAAGAGCTCTGTTACAGAAATGCTTTTATGCCCATGAGAATTTGTCTCAGTTTAAAGCAGTATTGACCTTCTACAAAAGAGTAACTTACTGCATGGCTGCATAGTAAAAGGATCCAAACCATATGCTGTAAGTCAAGACATGCACTGGAATCACAACCTTTCCATACTGTTTTAAAATCTTCTTGAACCTCTGAACAAGACCAAGTGATTTGTCTTCTAGAGGGTCAGCTTCTAAAGAACTTGGTTCTGCAGTACCTCCCTTATGTGCATCCCTGGATGGATTCAAAGGACTTTCTTCCTTTAATTCTTTGTGGCGAGTATCTTCTGGTTGGGATGAGAACATACGCAATGGCTTACTTTTGTTTAAAATAAAGAGTGCAGCAGATGCATGTAGACACTGTTTTCGAAGGCATCTAGTCCAAGGCAAAACTGGTTTTCCTTTTAAGCACTGGTATATATTGGTGCGATGTAGTACCCAACATGTCCTATGCACTGGCTGGAACATGGTCTGGATTAAATTCCTTTGAATTTTGATGAAGGGTGATAGCTGGCTACAATTCCTAGGGAAAGTACACAAGAAAAGGAATTTTTACTTAAGACTGTCTGTAACTCTTACATTTCCAAAGATTTTTAATTTATCTCATGCAAACAGAAATAGAAAAAAACAACTCATTATACTAAAATAGTTAGTGACTTAATTGCTAGGGTTAAATCACTAGTCCTTGCACATTTAACATTTCTGAAATAAATCTGTCATTAAAGTTCCTTTTCCTAACACTAAATATGGTAATTCTACTGCTTTACAAGGTGACAATTAAACAGGAAATAGCAAATGATAGCCATGCTTATATTTGATACTTTTACTCTGTTTAAACATAGAGAAATTTAGTGAGATTGTGCTAAGGTTCCTGGGGGCCATCCTTTTTGACAAGCATGCCACAAGGTAAGCCTGACACCCTCCCTAAGTGCCACTCTGACCCCCTTGTGCACAAGTAGCAGCAGTGCACCTTGCATCACAGCTACTTGTTTCTGGGGAATGCTCATGCCATGTGCGCTTTCATGTGCAAGTTGCTCTGGGGGCAGTAGGGAAAGCTTAGGCCAGCACTGGGCTGCCCCCAGCAGCCTTACCTGGGGTCCTGGGGGCTTCCGCCACAGTGATTCTGCCATGGATCCAGGTGGCCCGGCTCTGCTTTTCAGCATGCACTGGCCAAGCATGTGTTGCTCTGGTTTTTGTGTGTTTTTTTTTGACCCGTGGATATCAAGGAGTCAAAAAACTCTGCAGAACCGCTC